ACCAACACAGTCGATCCCCAACAGTCGACCCACAATCACCACCAATCCACAAACACAACAACAGCCCCATCACCATCATCTCCATCACAGCCACACCACTCACCCACCGCCACCACTGCATCACAGCCACAAACACAACCACCACATCACCACCGCACCGCACACCTCCTCAATCACCACACCACTAAAAAAAAAAAGGGATCTACAGGAGGCAAAGACTCGCAACAGCATCGCTGCTTACGTGATAGCGACGACATGGTGTCCTCTGCTTCGTTGCAGCACTCGGATTGCGGTGGCGACGGCGCGATGTCCTTGTCTTCTTCATTGCAACACTGGGATTGTGGTAGTGACTCGCGCGGTGACCTCGTCGTCTAGGTATGGTTACAGCACCGAGATTGGGGGAGATTATTAGGGTTTGGGGTTGGGTGGGTATGGATGCAGTGCCGGTGAATAGGAAAGAAAGAGAGATGGAGTGAAAGCGAGAGAGACAGTGAGAGAACTATAAATCTGGGTGATTTAGGGATTTAAAATCGGGGTAGGTGGCGTGGGTGGGTTGTATATAAATTAATTTTTAGTTTTATAATATTATTATTAAAAATAAAATATCCGATTTTTGAAATTTAAAAGTTATGATCTGATTTTTGAACATGGATGTTGAAAAGTAGGGTTTTGTGTAATTTCCACTTCTCTCTCCCCCAGACCCAAGTCACACAATTTTCTCTCTTTCAGACCCAAGCTCCTGCCGGCTGCCATTACCTACACATTTCTCTCTCTCTCTCTCTCTCTCTCTCTCTCTCGTCGGCATTTACCATTTCGTCTTCCTTCGCCTGTGTCTATAGTTCTCTCTCTCCCCCACTTCACCTGTTCGTCATTTCCCACTTTGTTGTGGCCTATGCATCTCATTTTGTGGTGTCACATGTGGTCTGTCTATTTGTGCGTATTCGTGTGAAGGTTCCATTTGTGGTCTGCCTCTCAGCCTTTGTCCATTTTTCTAACTTCCGGCTCCAGCCACTACCATTTTCTTGAAGGTGTCACTTCCTATTTGATTTCAATTATTTTCTTCCAATTTAAAGTTTGCAGTTGTAGTAATGTCTATTTCTGATTTATGGATTACTAATTCCTGCCAAATGCCAACGTTGCCATTAAATATGTTTTCTGATTTAGTATTTTCCATGATTTAGGGATTTCTGATTTAGGGCTTTCTTATTTATATGTAAATTGATTTAGGAAGATTAAAACTTTCTGATTAATATGTTTGAAATTTGGTTGGGATGACTTATAAGAAGAAGACATTGATTTAGGGATTTCTAATGTGGTTGATTTTTTGTTTGTATCAGTTATGGACAAATACTTTAAGCGTAAATCTACGCTTTCTTGTGATGAGCAAAATACCAATGAAATGAATGTTTGAGAGAAAAGTGATAAAAATGTTGGAGAAGTTGGGGATGTTGATGTTGTAGAGCTTCCAACTGATCCTGGATTGAGAGTACCAATACAAAATTATGATGCTAATATTTGAAACATGATTCTAAAAGCATATGTGCAGAGGGATCCTTGTCAGCCTCGCAATCATGCGTTTCCACCACAAGAATGGGGAACAAAGACATGCGATTTTGTGTTTCGTGGTATGATGAGCATCCTACCTAATTGGAATATAATATAGCAAAAAATGCAATTTTTGCTTTTACTACTATCTTTTCAGTTTGAGTGGTAGTACATTTCTTAATGATGGATTCTCAAA